GCATATGGGAGCTTAGTCATGTCAGATCACAGAAAAGTGCACACATAGATGAACAAATGAGCAACATGAAATGTATGCCTTGCTCTCAAAATAGTAGTCATTTGGTGAACGTTTCATATGTTGGACCTGTTATGGGCTCAGAAAGGCCAAGGCTCAGGTTCTTCCCTATATACAGGGCCCTTACCATCCTGGTGGGAGGAAAGGCAGGTAGTTGGGTGGCTCTACTACACCACAGCTGGTAATACCCAGGGACACATTGGCATATTCAGATGGAGACCTTTGAGACCGGAAAGGGCGATATTAGTAATTGGACTAATGCAGGCACATGTAGAGGGACTGTTCTGGGTCACCCTGTCCAATTAACATACTTTTTGTGCCAGTCTCTGGACTGAGCTTTTACACAAATCATCTCATTGATCCTCACAGCTACAATTATCCCACTTACAGATGGAAAAAGACAAGTTCAGAAGCAGTAAGTGGCTGCTCTGAATCACACAGCTAACAAATGGCAGAGCTGAGTTTTGAATGCAGAAATCGAGCTTCAGATTCCACATGTTCCACCACAGACTTTCATCAATAGCAGGGGATCCCAGAAGGCCAAGGGTGGATGGGAACAGCCTAAGACTCAGAACTGGATAGCCCAGGTATTGCAGTCCCCACTTCTAGCTGTGTGATCACAGCCAGCCCCTACCTCCAGCCTTCTTTCTTCCTCTGCAAATGAGAGAGTGGTTTTTTACTTGGATCCAGTGAGATAACAATGCAGGTGAAGTGCATTCAGCAACTATTTGTCAAGAAATTACTCTGTGCCCTGACCTTGGGGCCCAGGCGTGATGCCTCCCTGATGAAGTTCACAGCCCATTTCGGGAATTGTAGGGAGTCACAGAGGCATTGAAGGGAGGGGCTCTATCTGAACTGAGAAATGGTTGGGCAGAGGTGTAAGGAGGAGCGGAGAATGTTCCAGCAAGGAGATGGCCTGGGGAAGGCCTGGCATGGGAGGCAAAGAATGCTGACCAAGCATGAAGGCCCACAAAAGGTGCAGAGGACTGGGAAGAGAATGATTCTCAGTGGAGGAATCAGGAAGGCTTCTCAGAGAAGTGGCTTGTGCTGGCTAAAATCCAGAGCAAGATTTTGACCTTCAGTGAGAGAGGGCTAGGACAGCACCCACAGAACTGCACAGCTCTGGAGGCTTATGACCCAGGTGGGATAGGGTAGCCTTGGAGGCCAGATGCAGTGGAACAGGCTGGAAGCAGGTCAAGGAGACCTGAAAGACCACATGAAGCCTTTGTTGGCCATGGGGAGGCCACTGAAGGTGTTCAAGGAAGAGAGGGCCAGCTAGGAACATCACCACACTTCAGGTAGAAGAGAAACTTTCAGATGTGGAAACTTCCATCTTGTTCCTTCAGAGGGAGAAATTCCCGGACTGAGGATTCTGTGATTTTCCAGAAGCTCTGATACTTCCTCATACTTGTGATTTTTATAGTTCCTGGCAGTGATTACCCACAAAACCTTAAACCAGAAAGAGATGTTGGAACTACAAAGCCAGCCTGGGGTTGGGGTCCAGCTGGCCAGGGGCAGCTGGCTCCAAGCTCAAAAGGAGAAGCAGCCGCAAGGTTGGGTGTAGAGTACAGACTGGCATGCACACAGAGGGGTGTGAAAGACAAGTCACAGGAACACAGTCTGGCTTCTGTGAGGTGCCCTAGTCTCTGCCCCAGAGTGGGATGCCCTCAACAGACCCTGAGGCAACCATGGCAGATTTTATTCTAAGCTGTAGGGACCTCTCATGGCCCTGACCAGCCCCAGAACTCCACCCTCAAAGAGAAGCCCACCCAGGGAGCTACACCCTGAACTCAGGCTCAGCCTACTGCCTCCTCCAAGGCCAGGCCCCAGACACAGACACTCCCTGAGGAAGGTATCAGACTGTGGTGACCCATGGGCAAGCCAACCTCTGGCTCTGAGCCTCCTCAGTGTCCTCAGCTGGGCTAATCTACCCCAGATCCTGTCTAGGTTTACTACGAGAATGGGATGAGACCACAATAGCAACACTCTCTGTACTATAGGGGTGGCTGCCCCCTGAGCCTCTTGGATGGCTTAGCAGGCAGGACCCAGCCTGCAGAGTGTCAAGGGGCATGATGGGAAAGTTCTGCATGGCCAAGTGTTCTAGGCTTCAATTATGCCAAGGAGAAAGACTTTGCCTGCTGTGCTTCTGTCTTCACTTCTCTTCGCTCCCATTTTTATTGGCTTTTTCAACAAACATGAGAGGTTTCAGGCTCCTCCAGAAGGTTGGAGCATTTCACTAGAATTAAATCATGTTGCTCTCATCATGTTTGTGTTTGATTTTCTTAGCTTCCCAGAAGCACTATGATTTTGTGTATTTTAAGGGGAACTTTTAGACTCCAGTAGCATTTTAAATGTTTATTCTCTTATTCAGCAACTCTGCATCTAGAAGTCTATTCCATGGAAACAAGCACATAAGTGTGAAAGTATAAATATAGTTTCAGCGTAATTTATAACTCTAAAAGATTAGAAACAACATAAAATGTCCATCAATAAGGGACAGGTTACATCATTGATGGTACAGACATGGTTTTAAATTATGTGAAGCTCCCACAGTGGATGAGTTAATATCTTTATGTCCCCCTGTCCTGTGAGGATATCTATAAGGTACTGCTAGGTGAAAGACAAAGAGTTGCAAAATGGAAGTGGTAGTTTTAAAAATAACTATAATTTAATTAGATACAAAATACAGATATTAGTATGGATATAATAAGGCAAGGATCCTAGAAAAATAAAACAGAATTATTCGAAGTGAGAAGCAGAATTTCCATAAAATAGATTCTTAAACACAGAGTAGCTATGTTACTAGAGTCTAGAATACAGAGTCTGGTAATGATTTTGTAAAATACAAGCATAAACCTTCATAAAATTAATTAATTGTTATAAAAACTGGATGATAAACTCAAATAAAAGAGGCCTATAGAGACAGGGCCCTGACTCAGGGCAGGGACATTGATGGGGGCTGGGGGGGCCCCTCCTCTGCTGCAGGTCAGAGATTCAGCAGGAAGACCCCCTTTTAGTCTTCCCTTCTTTTTCCGGGAACAAGGACCCCTGGCTGAGAGTAAAGTGGTGGAAGAACTGCGTAGCTGAAGTGGCTCATCTGTCTGGATGGAAAAGTCCAGCTCACCATTTTCCCTGGCTCTGCCTGTGTGACTTAGGTCGCCCCAAACCCTTGTACCAACTCTGCATGGCAGCATGAGAGCCCCAAGCCCTCCCTCTAACCCTATTTTAATATTTTTACCTAGTCCTCCGATTCACTTAGCTCTCCTCTGTCGCCCAGGACTTTTCTGTTCTTTCTCTCGTGGACAAACGGCACCAGAAAGGTCTGCATCTGAAGACAGGATTGGATCCCAGGCTTTCCAGACCCCTGGTTCTGTATCCTTCATCTCCCTGAGTGCTGATTTGGGAGTCGGCCAGGCCCAGCTCCTATCCCACTCTCTCACACTGGCCAGATGACCCTGAGCAAGTCACTTCCCAATCTGCTCTCTCTTCTGTAACATTCGCTAGGTTCACAGGACCCGTGTGAGGGAAAATGGGAAACTGCGAGGAAACCAGAATGCCCTGCACATGGTAACTGTTGCCTCAGTTGCAGCCAGAGTTTATCATACTTTATCTCTGTGGCCTTGATATTTCCACTCACTGCCAGGGAGACTGATGTGGTGTGACCTGCCCAAGGTTCCCTGGGGAGTGGCCTGAGGTGGGGAGTGGAATCTCTGACCTCCAGACACAGGCTTCCCCAGGAGCAAAAATAATCCTGTCTGGAATGGGGCTTGCTTATTCTCCTTCCAGAGCAAATCTGGTATCACCTTATCCAACTCCTGCTGCAGCCAGGAGAGAAGGGAGTCACAGGCTCTGGGTGTCCTCTAAAGCCAGGACCCCCAGAAAGGTGGGCTTTGGGTAGCCAGGTCCTACAGATGGTGGGGTTTTCCCTGGCATGGCTCAGCTGCCCCTCAGTTGGTGGCTGGGCCTGAGTCAGAGCTGGCCCACAGCTCTGTTCCTCTCTGCACTTGCACCCTCTGCCCCAGACTCCTGGAGACTGTGGGGGGAGACCTGCAGCTCCAGAAGGAGGTCCCCTTTCCCCAAACCCTTCCCTGTGCTCAGAGACAGCAAGGGATGGCTGGGGATACATGCTGAGTAGGTGATAGGCTTTGGTGACTCTCCCAAAGAGCCCTGGTGGGAGGGCTGGGAAGCCCCAGCCTGGGTCCAGGACCCCTGCACTTTGCCCCCCGCCCTAGGAGCTCTACCGTCCCTAGTCCAGTGTCCCACAGGCTGGGTTTAGCAGGGCAGTCTATGGTCAGTACCAGCCTTGCCAGTGGGGACCGGATGCCCACCTCATGCCAGCTCCACCACCCCTGAGCTGTTGCAGCAGTCTCCTAGGAGTCTGGGGCCTTCTGGATCTGCAACCCTGTCCAGCCTAGCTGGACTCTGCCCTCAGAACCACAGCCTGGCTCCCCATCCCTCCTCTGGCCTCAACCAAGCCACAAATCCTTCCCCTTCCTCCGTTCCTCTTCCTCTTCGCTCTCCTCTACTTCTCCTCACTTCTCATTCTGTGGCACACTTGGGTACTGTCTGTCCTGTTTCTACCTGGGTCCTGACCATGACTCACCTGGACTTGGAATCCGGGCTCTGGCAGGCGCCTCTCACAAGCCACACCAGCCTCAGCCTGGCCCGTGGGCAGAGGAGGGGCCAGTAGGGAGGGTGACCCAGCTTAGCAGCCAAAGCCAAAGCACATGGTCAGGTGGGGTACGGGTGGCAGGAGGGAGCACAGAGGCAGCACAGAGCCTCTGGCCAGTCCTGCCAGCCCCACTCTGTCCCACCCAAGCCCAGTACAGTGAATGAGACTCAGTGCTGAAGGACCTGTGTCTGGGACACAGGTCTATCTGGTCCACTCCACACCCACCACCCCCAGGCACAGGAACCCAAACCCGAGGAAAGACCACAGAGTCTGGAGTGAAAAGCACCAGGTTTAATATTAAAATCTTTCCCTTAAAAAAGTACACAGATAGGAAAACTTAACAGCATACAAAATAGCACTTCTGATGTATAAATGTGAGTTAACGTGAGCCCTAAAAATACTCGTAATCCTAGGTGATTCTATCTTTGGTACCGTAGTGAGAACCTGCTCCCCCTCCTCCAGCCAGGCTGTGGGGCTCTGGGGCTGGGAGATGCCAGCCAGCACGGGGCACTAGTGCCAGAAACAGAGCTTCTCCCACCCTCCCCAGCCCTCCTCCTCCTGGCCCATCATGGCCACATTCCTCAGTTGCCCGGCACCTCCAGTGTCCACTCATTTCAGGTCAAGAAGGTGTCTGCTAGACCTGGGAAAAACTATTCCCATGAGGTACTGCCTCAAGGGCAGGGCAGCTGGCAGTTGAGAAGGGAACCCCCCAGTATCCACTCCTCATGTTCCTGTGCTGAGGTACCCATCCTAAGCCTTACAGGATGTAATTGCTCTCACCCTTCATCACATCTGTGGCACATACCTCCACGGCAGTGGTGGGCTGCACAAGGTGATCTGATTTCCCCTCTCTGTCCCACCTTGCCCAGGATAGCTTCAGAGTTCACTGTGGGTGCTGAAAGGGGTCTCATGGTGCCCTTGTTCCTGGGACAGCTGCTGGGGGCTTTCCAGGACACTGGCTCCCAAGCCAAGTCAAGGTCTGGGCTGCTGCACTAGCGGGCTGAGGAAGGGGTGCCATTCCTGAATTGCTGAAGCATGACATGTGGTCTGGAATCTCCTCAGAGCCCAGCTGGCTGTGGGGTACTTGGCCTTGCTTCATCTGGACAAGTGTAACCCCCTGGAATATTCTAGAACATTAGTGTTGACACAGCACTCAGAGTTAATGAGTCCAACTCATTATACAAGGGGGAAACCAGGGCCCAGAGAGGGCAAGGGATTCCTCCAAGGTATCATAGAAGGTCCAGTGCAGAGTTAGGGCCACCTATTGGTGCACACAGGCACGCATGTGGACACTCCACGCTGGCCTGCCAACACAGTCGTCACCGATGCAGACTGGTGGATGGATTAAGACTGAAGGTGATGAGGAAAGCCACAGGACCAATGGGGCCTGGAAGACATGGGAACTCCTGTAGCCAGGTTTGCCCCACATGTTCTGGGCAGGGGCTCCAGGCCAGGGTGCCCCTATTTGGCTCAGCCCTCAGCACTCAATAAGAGCACTAATTAAGCACATTGGCCCCAAACCACCTTGGGCCTGGGAAAGCAGAGTAGCATCGAGAGAAGTAGCTTCTGGGTGATGCAGCACTGTCCAAGGTAGGCCCAGCTCAGCCAGAAGCCAGGATGCCAGGGTTCCTTCCCCAGTTCTTAGGTAGATCAGAGCTAGCTGATCAGAAAGATAGGAATGTGCCACCCATTCACCCAAGAACCTCCCCAGGGATTCCAACACCCTCACTGTCACTGAGGGAGCATCCCACACAGACTGCAGATTACCAAGTCTGACACCTCATTTACATTTGGGGAAACTGAGTCCTCAGGGGAACCCTGGCTCAGAGTCACATGACCTCCCCAGAAACAGAGCCTGGACATGGTCCACACAGTTTTCTTGCCCCATAAGCCGGCCCCGGGGTTTGGAGCACAGCATGTCGGGACAGAAGCCTTCCACAGGGGCACAGCTGGCAGCTGCAGCATAGTGACAGGAGCCCAGGCTGAGCCAGGAGGGGCAAGATGCTGGGGCGGGGGCAGCTTCAGGCAGTCAAGGCGGGGCCAGCCCCTACAGGAAGCTGTCCTCCACTTCGACCTGGGGCCCGGGGCAGCCTGAATTTTGAGGCTGCTCCAGCTCCGGCTCTGGCTCCACCTGGGGCTCGGGCTCTGGCTCTGGCTCTGGTTCCTCTTGCGGGTCCAGGGGGCTATCACAGGAGATGGTAGAGGAAGTGTTGGCTTCATGCAGGGTGGAGCTAGAGGAAAGAGGTAAGTGAGAGGTTGGGGGATCCACAGTACAATGAAATCACCATTAAGTAAGAGCTTTCTATGTCTACACACATCCACTCATTCAATCCTTGTAAAGACTGTGCAAGGCCTGCACAATGAGAAAGTGCAGCTCAAAGAGACTGTGCCACTGCCACATCCCTCAGCAGGGGGTGCAGGAGCTGGGACTTCGGAGCAGGTCCTGAGGCCTCCATAGTTCATTTCTCAACCCCAATGTCTCTATCCTCTGCATTTTAAAGATATTATCTTACTTAATCCTCACTATACGTCCCTAATAAAAGTGCATTTACTGCTTACACTTTACAGAAAAGGGAACCAAGGTTCAGAGAGATAAAGCAGCTCACCTGAGGACCCAAAACAGGGCCGAGCTTCTGGAACTCTGAGCTGAACCCTCTGTACCTATGGCCTTGTGACGTTCACCTCATCCACATCAGAGCAGAGAGCCTTCAGGGCCACACTAAGACCTACATACACCACTAGTACCTATGGGGAAACTGAGGCCCACAGAGGAGGACTCTGCCCAGGTCTCAGAGGCAGAGCTGGAGCTAGAATCCAGCCTGGGGCTCCTGCCCCTTCACCTTGGGCTGGATCTTGTTTGGGGGTGGCTGTGGCCTCAGAGGAAGCCACTTTCTCCAGCCGAGGGAGGTCCATCTGAATACTGAGTCTGGCACTGGCTGTGTCTCCTCCAAAGCTCTGCACAGCATGACTCTAGCACACCCCAAGGCATGCAGAAGCCATGATCCTCCTTCCTAGTTCCGATCCTGGCCTGAACTCCTAGGCACCTCTGCCTCCTACAGTCAGGCTCCCAGGGCCATCCAGGCATGGTGCTCAGAACACAGCACAGGCCTAAAGCTGGCCGTGACCCCACACTGACCACTGAGTGCTGGGAGCTAAGTAGGTCTCGTCCTTCTCCTTGGGGTTAGGACAGAGCCTGGAGAGGGACAGGAAAAACCGCCTGGGCAAACTCCCTGGAAAGCAAGAGCACCTTGCAAATAGGTCCCAGACTATCCCTCTTCCCAGCCTGCCCTTCCAACTACAGGGCACCAAAGGTAGAGTGGGGTCCCTTCTGCTCACTGGCAAGAACAAGCGGTCCCCGGAGGTCACTTACTTCAGAGGCAAGCCTGACACACGCACACAGATGTACACGCTCTCTCTCTCTCTCTCTCTCACACACACACACACACACACACGCCCTGGGCCAGCGTGGTTACCTGGCAATGCTGGGGGATCCCTCCAGCCGGCCCTCCTCAGCAACCTCGGGTTTGGGGTCAGGCAGGGGGATGATGTAGTCATTGTCACCCTCGTTGGGCTGTACAGCAGTGTAGAGGACAGAGCTGGTGTCCAGGGGAGACCGGAGGCCATGGAACCCAGGCAAGCGAGCTTGGGACCGAAGGATGGCTGGGTGGTCGCTCCTCAGAAACTCCTCGTCAACCTGCTGGTACTTCTGCTCGAGGGGCAGGGAGCACCGGAGAAACATGATGGTCAGATGGGCAATGGCTTAGGGATCACCAACCCAGCCCTTCCCATGCTGGGCAAAGAGGCAGCTGGTGCTCAGAGGGGGAGAAGTTTTACCCAAAGCCACACAGCTGAGCTGCCTGCCCACCTGGTACCTCACAGACCAGGTGAGCTCAGGATCGCCAAGAGAGGGGCAGTTCATGACCAGCATCATGACCCTAACTCTTCCCTGACTTCATCTTTATTTTTGCAGGGCTCAGGATCAGAGCCAGGACCCATGCTAGGTTAGTGCTCTACCGTTGAGAGACCCTTCCCTGCTCTCCTCCTGCCTCAGCCCCCTCCCTTGGGGCCTCAGTGTCCCTTGTTATGAAATGATGCTATGATGACTCTTCTCCATGTCACTCCCCAAGGACCCTCCTGGGGAAGAGAGGGGAGAAGTGAAGCTAGGCACAGGCCATGCCTGTGCCCAAGGGGCTGGGCATCCCCTCTCCCTGCCTGCTGTCACCCGCAGGACAGGGGTTGAGAGCTCTGTGGGCCCCACTGGCCACAGAAGGCTGTGAAGATGTCTGTGTCAGGCACCAGAGCTCATGCAGCCTGGGGTTGTTCACTCACCCAAAAGAACCCTAAGGACCGAGCACGGGTGCAGAGGTCTGGGGACAGACTGGGCTGCAGCGCCTGTGCTCTGCGTCAACTCAATCAGCATCCAGGTCTCTGTGCTGCTAGAGTAAGTCAGACTCACAGCTCCAGCGCATCTCTTCCCAGTACCATGACGAAACTGAAGCCCAGAGTGGGCAGAGCACTTCCTTCCAATACCAGCATATCACACACACCCTGGTGCTAGGGGCCTGGCTTTTGTACCAGAACTCTCTGCTCCCACCCTGTCTCGACATACCTTTTTGTAACCCTCACCCAGCAGTCTCTCCAGAAGCAGCACCAGCTGGGAGAAGGGAGGCCGAATCTCAAACTTCTCTTCCCAGCACTTCTGCATGATCTCATAGCTGGGGAGGGGCAGAGAGGGTCAGGGCCTCTGTCTCAGGATGCCAGGGTGCTGGGGATGCTGGGGGATCTGGGGGCCACCGCCCTCAGAACAAGGTGAACAAGGGGAAGGAGTCAGGGAGGAGTGGCGGATGGCACTGTTTTCACATTGTCACCTCTGGCTGCCACCTTGGGCAGCCCTCCCAGCGCCCACCACCTTGATGAGAAAATGAGCTGGGTGTGGTCGAGAGGGGTTTTCACCCCCTCAGCTCAGTGGCCGGTTCTGACGGCCTGGGACTCCCAGAGCCCTTGAAGTTCAGCTCTGGGACATTGGCTGAAAGCACAGTGCCAATAGTGAGATGTAAAGCAGGCACTGTTGGCAGCCAGGTAGGCAGCACCAGCTTGAAACGGGGGAAAGCAAGAGCCCAGGGCATGCTCCAGAGATCCTGATGAAACCTCCTGAACACCTAGAGCCAGTTCCAGCTGAACTTCTCCAGATCTCTGAGCAAATCAAGCTCTCTTTCTGGGCTAGGCCAGTAGCACTGCATATCCACCATCTGCACCCGCAGTGCCCTTCTGATGCACAGGTTCCACTCACATCTCATCGGCGGCATGAGCAGGCTGGGCCATGCGGTAGCCCCGCTTGATGGCATTGTAGAACTGCTCGTTCATGGGCAGCTCTGGGTAAGGTGTGCCACCTGTTGGAGGGCAGAGACAAGCAATACACAGGCTTAGAGTCATGGAAAAGAGGCAGGGTGCCCTCTTCTACAGGACAGGGGAGGCATGAGGTCCTGGGATGGGTGAGGGTGTGGTGCCCTGGCACTGGGAAATGTGGGATCCTTCCTGGGCACTGGCAGAGACAGCAATGTTCCCCCAAATAGACAGCACCAGAGCCAACTCAGCCATAGACACCCAGAGAGGACCAGGACCTGCCCAAGTCACAGCAGGGAGAAAGTAGCAGAGCTGGGACGTGCGCCAGAGGCCCTGACCCATGTCCACAGCCCTGTCAGGCAAGGGGTAGGCATGGGAAGGTAGATGCCATGCCATGTGACTGAGGCTGGGGAAGAAGCACGAACCCAGCGTGAAGATCTCCCAGAGGAGGATGCCAAAGGACCACACATCACTCAGGGTGGTGTAGAGGCTGTTGAAGATGCTCTCCGGGGCCATCCACTTCAGAGGCAGGAAGGTCTGCAGGGACACCACAGCACTGAGTGTCCAGCCCCACTCTGCCCCGGATGGGAGAAGGAGGCTCAGCAGCTCCCGCCACAGCTGACTCCCCAGTCCCATTCCCGGTGTCTCTGCACACAGCCCCAGGTCCACACCATTCCTGTCAGAGCACCAGGATGCCATTTCCTCTCACTACAACAGACACACAGCCCCATCCCTAAGAAAAGTCACAGGTCTGAGTAGAGACATGGGGACCCAGGGGCAAGGCACCCCCCACTCTCTTCCTGGCTGCCTTCAATCTCCAGGGGTCTGGAGTCCTCCACCTCTGGGTTGTCTGGAAGGACAGAGGGGAGAGGAGTGGGAGGCAGATGGTCACATTTAACCAAACCAATTCCAACCACTGCCTGTGACCGGGTCATCTGTCTTACCATGTCACCTGGGCTTCTTCCTCCGCCCGCCACCCTGGGATAACAGATGTGTCCTGAGCCCCTTCACACCCATCCCCGAGCCCATTGCAACTGGCCTCTCAGCCCTGCTGTAACTGAGCGTCTGCCTGTTTCCTCTCCAGCACAGATAGGTCCCATCCCTGCACACAGCTGGGCAGGCAGTGACCATCTCTGCTGGGCAGAACAGGCCAAGAGGGGCCCTGAGCTGGTCCCCTAGGAACTGCAGCCATGCTCATCAGGAAGGAACCTGTTCTGAGTCAGAGGCACAGGCTGACAACCCCATGGGGCCAAGGAAGGTACTCACGCTGCCTTTGGAGATGTAGTTCGAGTCTCGCATGATGTCTCGAGCCAGCCCAAAGTCACAGATCTTGACTAGCTTGCCTTCGCAGATGAGCACATTCCTGGCTGCCAGGTCTCGGTGGACACACTGGGTTGGGAGAGATGGGAGCTAAGACCTCAGGGGCAATTGTGAGGGGAGGGCTTTGGGGAAAACGCATGGATGCCCAGGTGTGAGGGTCACTGTCCCTGCCCACCAGAAGGGACTGTGTACTGTGTACCAGCCTCTGGCTGGTAGGGTGACATACCTCCCCACAGCCCCACTCTGCCCCACTGTGACCACACGTACATTCTTGGAGGCCAGGAACTCCATGCCATTTGCCACCTGGTAGCTGAAGCCCACGAGGTCTGTGTAGCTAAGCAACGGGGACTCATTGATCAGAGTTGCTCGATAAGTCCTCTCAGGGGCTAGGAGAAAGCGAAGGGTCAAGTGTCACCTGCATACCTGTGTGCTCCATAGGACCCCTGTCTTTTGGTTTGTAGGAGACTGAATGTCCAAAACAGGTGACTTCTGATCCTCCACAAAGCCTCCAGCATTAGCCCGAGGCCAGCAGCTTAGCTTTGCCTGTTTGTTCTCAGGGACACTGGACCAGGCAGGGGCCTGCTTGGAGCTGATCACTTTTCCTCCAGGCTCAGGAGGTCAGGTTTTCCCCACACCTTACCCCGGCTCTCCCCATCCCTGCAGATCCTGCTCCTGGTTACTCAAACAACGGTTCATACTGAGGTTCTACCATGCTTTGGGCATATAGCTACTCCATTTCCACACCTAGGACACAGGCACAAGGCCACCTTCCTCGCAGGCCTGCTGCAAGGCAGGGTGTGGGAAGGGCTTTGGAAAGAATGCATCCGAATAGGTGCAAGCCTGCACAGGTGTGAGGGAACTGTGTCCACCCACCAGAGGGGACGTAGTTATCATAAGGAGCCATGTAGTTGGAGGACTCAATGTCTGCGTATTTGATGTCTCCTTTCATGTCCAGCATGGGCACGTAGTCCACTGACTCATCCTTGCTCATGTCCATGTAGCCACCATCACTCTCCCCACTCAAGGACACGGGGCTGGGGGTAAGAGGAACATAACAGGGAAGGTCATGGCTTTCTCTTCCCTTCCCCTGCTTCCCCTTGCTCAGGAGTCTGAGGGATTCAGGGATTTCTTCTCTTACTCTCTCATCACCCTTCATCTGTCATCACCTGAATGACAGATGGAGCCCTTCCAACTAAACTGTGTAGTCCTGCACTAGGCACTGGGACAGCCAAGATGACATGAGACCAGTAAGTGTCCTCAGAGAGCTCACACCCAGAAGCGATTACTGTGCCTGGGAAAGGGTCACAAGATGGGCGTGTACAGAGGCATCTTTCTGGGGCCTCTCCAGCAAACCCAGAATGCCCTAAGTGCCCAGCCACTACTCAGGGTGGACCCAGGGATGGTCTTAACACCTCTGCCCACAGCTTCAGCTCCCCAAGGAGCTGTGGGGCTACACACAAGTATCTCTATGGGTAGGAAGCTGGTCAGAATGTTGGGAAGGATTGGGGCTGAATTTTAATGTCTTTTGTGCACTTTTCCAAAAGTATTCTTGTTTTTGCTTTTATAATCAGCAAAAGAACTTAGAAATTTGTGGAAAAGATAGAATCAGGAGTTGAGTTGTCTGTGAGGTGCTGGAGAGGCTGCAGTGGGAAGCAGAGCATGCAGCAGTGCGAGTTGGACAGCACATCTTCCTCACCACTGCCTCTGCCCATGGTGTTGCTGGGGCAAGAGAGCAAGACCCATGACACAGGAATGCTGTCCAGGTTCAAGGGGGTCAACATCTGCAGAGGGCTTAGTACAGGGCCTGGCACGCTGGGATCCCACTGCTACCTTCACTACTGTTGCCTGGTCTAGGGCGGACCGGCTTGGAAAACAGCCCCGGCTCCAGAGAGACTGCACACGCGACATCCCCTACTTCCTCTATTAGACAAGGGAGGGCTGCACAGGTGCTCTGCAGGTGCTGCCCAGCCTCTGGGTACCTGGGCAAGGAGAACCCCACTGGCAAGGCATTGCTGTACAGCTCAATGCTGGCTGGGCGTCGCTTGTCCAAGTGGTGCTGCAGGAAGGTGTGCTTATTGCGGTGCAAGTAGTCCACCAGGTCGCCGTAGCGGCAGTACTCGGTGATGATGTAGATGGGTCCTGTGGAGGCACAGGCTCAGGATAGTCCCTGGGGTGGCTTGGCCACAGGCTTCCCACTATGGCTAGGGGCCCTGAATAGGCCAGATGTGGGACAGGTGGTTGGCATGATAGCTAAGAGAGTTGGCACTCTGCAAACCTGGGTTCTCTCCTGTGTCTGTAAGTGTGAGCACAGGGCTTAGTCTCCCTGGGCCTTCCTTTCCCCATCTGTAAAGTTGGCTAGTGACATCCATGCAGCAGACTGTTGGGAGGCCTAATGAGATGCTGCCTTTTTCCGTGTGGCATGTGGCAAACACAGTGTCGGGTGTTAGGAATGAGTTTTCAAACTAAAGCTTATGCTGAAGCACGTGAAGGTAAGTATATACTTTCAATTTACTGGTTATATTCAAATTCAATGCATTTATTTAAAATCAACTAGTGGGAGCTTGAAGAAACTGATGAAAACGTAACTTGTGAAATGGGTGATCACTGCAGACGTGAATTGGTCTATGTATGCAGTGAACTTCTGTATTTTAATTTGGTTGCACAATGCTGAGGAAAATCCCAAATCTCACAACTGCAAATGGCAATTACATTTTTTTCATCCCAACTTGCAATCGGAGCTTCAAATAAATACAGCTGGAGAAAACAACTTTCTTCTGTGATCAGAACAAAAGCAGCTCCCAGGTACCACACTGGAGGTCTCTCAGGGAGGTACATGGCTCATCTCAGTGTCATATTAACTGTTACTCATTATGGTTTTCAAAGTGTACTGTGAAATTTAAAGAAATGTCTGAAAACACTTTGATTTGGAACCCACTGGGACTGGTGGCATGAAGAGTCCTTCAGCCAAGAAGGTGTTGCAAGGCTGAGATTTGATAAATCTCACACCCATCTGGAACTGAAAGGTGAGGGTGCTGGATAGGAGGAGGGGTGTGACCCCTCCAGCTGGGGTGTCCCGCTATCCTGGACTGAGGAAGGGACAGGAGAGGCCAGGCCTCGGCAGCCGGGCACCATCCCAGAGCCCTCTGCGTGTGGTTGGTACCTCCTTTGGTGCAGGCCCCCAGCAGGTTGACCACGTTCAGGTGGGGCCCAAGGTGACTCATGATCTTCAGCTCCGACATGAGGGCTTGCTTCTCACTGCTACGGGCTGTGGCTGAGGGGAAAGGGGGCTCAGGCCAGGGCAGTCACCTGGCAGAGGACCCACCTGAGCCTGTCTGGCCCCTCTCTCCACCCCTCTGATGCAAGACTCAGGAGGCCAAGGGCAGCGAGGACCCACCCTCTGGGCAGAGAAAGAGGCTGGGAGGAAGGCAGGAGGCCAAGGCGGAGAGCCCTGCTCCAAACACCACTGCCTTTCTCGTGCCCAGTGCACCAGAGCAGGCTGATGCAGAGAGGGCACTCATGCAGGGAGGGAGGGGTGGGGAAAGGCGGGGTCTAGGTGTGAGGAAACATGGGGGGTGCCCGAGACACACATTTCAGCATCTTGACGGCCACTTTCATGGTGCTCTGTGAATGACCCAGGCCATGAGCTGTGGCCTCCACCACCTGCCCAAAGGCCCCGGAGCCGAGCGTGCGTCCTGAGATGGAGAAAATCTCTCAGTTCCTGGCCCACCAAAGAGCTGCACCCCACCTTTCCAACCCAGGGCTGAGGAACAGCCACTCTAGGTCAACCTACCTACCCCTCAGACCACCCTGGACTTAAGGTGCTCCCCACAAGGGCCTCCTACAACCACAAGGCTTCCAGGTCCTTCCTGGGGTCTCATCCAAGGCCTGCCTGAGTCTCCATTTTGAGTCCCTGGAAGCCGTTCCCCTTCCCCAGGGAAGCACAGCTCCTCTGCACCCCTCACCCTCCCCAGCCAGACTAAGCACGGGCTGGCACTCAGTCCCCCTTGGTAATTTTCCCCTCAACACAAAGGGATCACATCTTAGTCTCAGGATCACTAGACTTCAATGTTGGACAGTCCCTGGGGGGCGTCTGGTCCTCTGGCACAGAGGGGGAGACTGAGGGCCAGAGGAGGCAAGACGCCAGCCTTAGGGCTCACAGCTAGTCATGGCCAAGCTGGCACAGACCCCTGGTAATTGCCAAATTCCTGCGTGAGCACTGACCGAGCACAAGCTGGTCCCGAGGCAGCTCCCACGTGGAGTCATAGGGCAGCTGCACCGGGTCTACGTAGATGTACTCGTGGCCATCGGAACTCACAGACTCGATCACCTTCCATCGGATTTCATAGCGTGGTTTCTGCAGGACCCAGACAGCAAGAGATCAGCACAGGGGTCTGTGGCCTTGAGCCCACCACTTCCAGTCTCTGATAGGACACATGGGCCAGTAGACCTGGAGACCCAGAGAGGGGCAGGGACATATCTGAAGTCACATAGCAAGTTGCCAACTGAGCCAAGGCCTTCACGGGCTCAGAGGGAAAAGCACCAAGAAGCTCCAGTGTGAGGAGAGGGGAGTAAAGGAGCTGTCAAGCCTTGGCGGGCTGAGGAGCAGCTGATGGCTGTAGGCCTGGCTCATGGGAACCTCCACACCAGCTTCTCTCAGAGCTTCAGCTGCTCCTCTGGTGGAAGCAGAGGAATGGGAAGCCCTGGAAAAGGATAGGAGGTGGCGATCCCCACACTGGGTCAGTCACCATGGGACTCTCAGAAGGACATAACCTTTGATGCTGAAATCTTAGGATGTTGAAATCATAGGATTAGAATCTAAAAATAATAGAATCATGGGGTACTGCAAACCTATTTAAGGAATTTTTACTGTTAGAATCATAGAATGGCAAAATCTCACAACAGAAGACTGACATTACAGTTGAATAGGGCCAGAATGCATTTCTGTAGATTCAGGAGCCTCCATGGTAGGAGCTGGGAATCCTTGGAAGCCACATGGTCCATCCCCAAGGTGCCATGCCCTGTGACTGGGACAAGTAGGGCTAGGATGTCAGAGGACACTGCAGGCCCATGTCAGCCCAGGTTGCTGAGAGTGGAGGGAACTCAGAGACCCAGTGTCACTCTACCTAAGTTTCCATCTCAGCTCCCTGGTGGGCCCCTCATGTGACCAGATCATGTGGCATCTACAGAGGCCAGAGGGGTCCGTCCAAATAAATGGGCACTAACCTCCAGCCACTAGAGCAGGGGGCACTTACCTTCTGCCAGAGTATGATGAGGATGATGAGGGAGATGATGGTGAGAACCACCAAGGCCAGTATGGCTGAGATCACCACCACCTTGAAGGGCAGGGCTGGAAACAGAGACCAAAGCAGGCCTTAACCAAACAGGGCTCAGGCAGCTGCTCTCCCACATTTCACTAGGGGCTTCGCATATCCCTCTGGAACCATCCTGTCCGCACAGAAGCCCCCACCTCTCCAACAGCAACTGGTGTGAGACCCTCAACATCTTGCAATGGGCCACACCTTTGGCCTCTCCTATAAATTCATGCACCTTTAGTAACTACCCCCACTCAGATCACTGCAGGCTTCCACATGTCTTAAGTCTTGCCAGAGTGAGGCCAGCCTTTCTGCCATAGCTGGGAGTAGAGTCATTCTCTGAGTTCCTGTCCACTGTCTGGGCCTCCCATGAGACCATGAGCCCCTGAAGGCCAGGCTGAGCTCACATCTCCTCTGAACCCTGGCCATGTCAGGGCTGTCACAGCTAGGTCAAAGCTCTGGGTTCACACCTGGCCAAGTGGCCACCTCTGAGGGAGCCATATACTGAGCTCCCATGGCCTGATGAATCCAGACTCAAAAAAGGAGCCTGTTCCTCTTGGGCTCCACCCCTGGCACAGCTGGGGTGGGGGTAGGGGTGGTAGTTATGAAGTGTAGCCGCCACAACACTGGGGTAAGCATGTAAGGTTCATTGGACCCCCAAGCCCTCTGGCTCCTCGGCCCCAAGACTTCCACCTCTTAGCTGCACACTCACCCCCAGCAAACCCTGGCAGAACCTCATTTTCCCTGCCCTGTTCCACTGGCCACCCTCATGGTCCCCTGGGAACTTGTTTCCACCCACTCTGTTCCTTCCCTGCCCTTTTCTGCTCCCCAGGGATCCCTGTCCAGCCTCACCCCCCCCCCACTTAGGGTCACAGATTGTCATCACTCCTGTTCTTTCTCCCTACCAGTGACACATCCCAGTCCTGGGAAGGAAACTTGCATCCTCTCGGGAGTCCTCTGAGTGAAGAGGAGCTTTCACCCAGCCCCACAGTGTCCTGAGCACTGGCGCATGGCAGCTCCTCAGGGGCCACATGGCAGCTTTGCTTCTGCCTCTGCTCAGAACTGGTCTGCATATCAGGGCAGCCACACTGTCCACTCAGATGCCCACCATGTGTGCATGTGTGGGAGGGTGGGGGACATGAAGGCATCTGTAAAAGCTCATCTTCCACAAGGCCAGGACAGGAGGCACGTGTGTGTGCTGAGGGCACGAACGAGCCCATAGATCCCTTCATATTCACGTGTGTACAAAACACCTCACATGACCTGTGGAGCTCAGTAGCCCCCCTCCTTACCACTTCCTTCCCTCTTATGTCATCCATCCAAAGGCCCTGAATCCACACAAATGCTCCTGCCAGGTTGAATTTCTCAGAGCCCACTTTGCCTCTGGGCTTTTGCCCAGGCCATTCCCTCTGACTAGAACATGATTCCTCACCAGGCTAACTCTTAGTCATCAGTCAGGTTTTGACCAAATGGTTCCTTTTTCCAGGACACTTTCCTCAATCCTACAGCTGGGCATGGGGTCCTCCTCCCTCTGGGCTTCCCCCCCGCCAGAGTGATGATCCTGAATAGGATTATCTAGTTCCTCTTTTTCTGGACCATAGGCCCTAGGAGGGCAGGCAAGACGGAAGGAAACTATTGGCCTTTACGCCAATGAGAAGCTGGATCCCTGTAACTATTTACTAAACAAGAGCCAGGGATTTCGCTCAGTGGTTCCACCACCTGCCTTGCAAACAGAAGGACTCGAGTTCCATCCCTGGTACCAAAAAAAAAAAAGAAATACTAAACAAGAAACAGGTGAATAAACAAGGCACATGCATACAGATGCAAGCACACGGGGGTATGGATAAGTAGACAGGCAAACACACCTGGGCACTGGTAGACACTGTTCACATGTGTAAGAATTGCATGTGTATGTCTACCTACTAAGAGGCATGCATTGTACTGCACACATATGTGTTCAGGGATTGTGCTTGCATACTTTTCCAGAGGATGTGCTGCAGTCACACGGCTACAAACATGTACTAGGCCAATTTACACACATCCACAAGAATTGTACATGCATCATTTGTACACATGAATAGGGACTGTACTTCCACATGCACGTATGCAAGTATACATTCTGTGCACTGATACACAAGTTTCGAGATTGAACATGCTCATGGGAATATATTCTGGTGGTTTACACATATGGCCAGGCACTGACTGCTTAAGTGCTTACAGACATACATTCTAGCCTTACTCATGTGTTTGGGGTTTAGGCATTCTCCAGCACACCATTTACAAATCTATACACGGAGCCTTTGTACCTGCCGACTTTCAGGTTTTACAACATACAGCATGCATTCTGTTTATATGCACTGCATACAAGTACACAGTGCTGCTCATGCCCACACTCATACAGTAGTGTTTGTGTGTGTGCCCACTGTGTTGTGTACGTTCATAGGAACACATTCTGGCGGATCACAAAGCTCCTGAGTGCCCTCGGGCATGGTGACTTGGTTCACTGTATGTGCCCTGGCTGAGTCCCCAGCATGGCAAGGCAAGAGCAAGAAGAGGTCATCAGAGCCACCAGGCCGGGGGACTCACAATGCGGCACCACGGTGACCTCCTGCACGTCCTGGCCCAGCAGGTTGTGTACCATGCAGAACACCGACAGTTGCTGGTCCACGTGGCGCAGGCGCAGCGTGCTCACCACCTCATACTCCTGCTCCTCCGCCCAATATGTCATGTTGGTTTCCAAATGGCTCTCCTCTTCCGAACTGTTCCCCAGAGGCGTGGGCGGCAGCTCGTGAGGACACCTGCCAGGAGAGTCAGGGGGATCAGCTGGCAGTCTCTTCCCTTTGCATATGGGGAAACTACGGGCAGAAGCAGGCAGCGCCACGGAGCGGTGGTGGAGGGAAGTACAGCAAGTCTGGTTCCGGGGACGCCCCCCACCAGGCGTGTTCTTCCTGTGAGCCTTTAACTGACCAGCAGAGGGCGCTCCCATTCCAGAATAGAGAGCCCTGGATTGCAAAATCCACTTGGCTCATTTGACCTCCTAAATCACACTCTCTGAACTCAGCTCTGCTTCTATCCACTACACTACAAACAGCCATTGTCGGGGGTACAGAACATCTGGGTGGATGAGGTCTCTCCACCCTGCACTGTGCTGGGCTGAAGATAGCTCAGGAATCAAGGTAAGGGACAATTTAGGTCAGGCCAAGAATCTCCAATCGACTATGGACTGGTCTTTTAGGCTGTGGCTCCATCCTGGTGCAATGTGTTCAGAGGAGGGGGCTGGACTAGATAAACTTCACTGGGTCCTTGTAGCCAGCAGTGGGTACCCTGGGAGACCAAGGCTCGGGGTCTGCTCACCTTTTGAGGTCTCTGCAGGTAAACCAGGTGACATGTGGCTGCGGCATGCCTCGCCCACGACAGCGGACTGTCTGCTCCCCACTGGCAGGATGGCTCTCACTCAGCTCCAGCACTCGGACAGGGACTGAATAGAGAGGCACAGGTCAGGAAGTGGAGAGGTTGGGATAGGTGGTCACCATTGGCAAAGGCCCTCTGGGAGGACTTGGCCCAGAGTCTCCTCATAAAGAGGGCCGCAGAGGCAGGTGAACAGTAAATACCAGGAATCACAGTGTGAAAGGTGATGGATTCCCTTCAGGGTACTTCAAAGGAACAGCCTCAGCAGGGTGCTAGTCCATCTTTAACACCTGAGACTTGCTAATCTTCCCTTTTAACAAAGACAGAACAGGCCTCCAGCTCAGAGCTCTGGGCAGCCAAGCTTATGAGGCTAAAATTTAATAGCATTGTTTTGTTTTCTCTGAGTTTATTTTAGTGGTTGCTTTATATTTATGACATGTGATGCTGAATTTCCATCTATGTTGAGAGGTTAAATTCTGTCTTTCAAAATAAATTTATTTTTAGAAAGGTAATTGACAAAACATTAAGCCATTACGTTGTCCTTCCTATGCTCAGGTCCCAGCAGAGGTGGCTCCTAGTGGGCCCCACTAGAACAAAAGCTGTTCCAGGTCAGAAAGTACCTAGGCATCTGTCCTCCCACCCCACCACCCATCTTTTCTCTGATCTCATCCCCCGCATTCTCACTCTCCCAGCTTCGGCCACCCAGGCACTTTGCCCATTGCTCTGGGCTCTGCACTGCCGGGAATGCCTTCTCCTCAGATGACCACTTACCCAACAACCTGACCTCACCTTCTTCAGGCATTCGTGCAGATGTCAAATCCTCCCTAAGGCCAACCCTGATTACCATATTTCAGAGTTCGGCCTTCAGTACTCCCTGTGCCCAGCGCTCTCCATCCTCCCTACCCTGTGCCCCTGGCAATAATCGTTACCTTACACCTTGCATCACTCACTGAGGTTTCCTCTCCTACTGTTTAACATTTGTCTCCCTCCATTAAGATCCACGCTGCACAAAGCCAGAGCCTCAAGAACTCTGAACAGACTGATATATTGTGGTTGCTCAATAAATATCTATTGAATTAATAGTACAATATACAAGGGCTGATCAAAAATATGGTGTGGGTTTAACTAAAAAAAATTGTTATAGTAAAAGACATGCTGCTGTTAATCTCCCTCAAAATACTTTCCCCTGGCTCAAACACATTTATCCCATCATCCCTGCCTCTTTCTGAAGCAGTTCTGGAATTGCTCTTTCATGAGTGTCTTTAAAGTATGTGATAAAAAATAAAGGGAATGCTGCTGCCATCCTACAGAAAGGCAGGCTTGTGAAAACAGCGTGTCCTCATTTACTTTATTCACTGGACCTGCCACTGTGCAACTTCTGGCTCTTCCTCAAAGTGAAAATGACCATGAAAGGTAAACATTTTGAATCAATTCAGGACACTGAGGCGACCATGACAGCACAGTTAAAAACACTCATGAGGGGCAAGGGATTTAGCTCAGCAGTTTCGCCACCTGCTGCACAGCGCAAGGACCCGAGTTCGATCCCTGGTACAAAAAAAAAAAAAAAAACACTCATGAAAGAAGACTTCCAGAACTTTGTCATAAAGTGGGAAAACTATGGGATAAGTGTCTTTGAAGTGAGGGGAAGTATTTTGAGGGGGATTAATGGCAATGTGTCTTTTACTGTAATAAATTATTTGAAAAGGTTTGACATTCACTGTTTTTTGTTTTTGTTTTTTTTGGTACCGGGGATTGAACTCAGGACCTTGCACTTTCGAGGTGGGTGGCGGAACCCCTGAGCTAAATCCCTGGCCCTCGCTGTATTTTTTAAAAAATCACAACTCAGTAGTGTTATGTGAGAAGAAAAAATCATGGCATCAGTATGTGAATGCCCAAGGCTTTTGGAAATTCCAGTCTAGCCTCATGACCTCTTTTTACATCTAGAGAAATAGAGGCAGAGAAGAGACTCAGCAGGTCAGCGGCCTAAAACCCAGCCTCCTTCTTTATCAGCTCCTCCTATGGGTGGGTGGGCAGTGTAGGAAAGGAGAAGGAATAGGGCAGGGAGGGCAAGAATGGAAGAGGGCAGGGAGGTGATCCTCACCATTGACCTGCAGCTTGAAAGAGAGCTGGTCCTCATCATCCTCATGGAAGGCCCGCATGGTGTAACTGCCGGCCTCTGCCACCTTCACCCGAACCAGCGTCAGCTCCGACACATACCTGGGAGTCAGGGCAGGCCATGAGATCCATCAGTCAGAGTTGGAAGGAGTCTTACCGACCTCCCAGTCTTCCTTGTGCAGACAGGAAAAACAAGGCCCGGGGAGGCAAGGGGCCTGCCAAGGTCACACAGATGTTAGCAGAAATCAGGACTCAAAGCCTGTCTCCTGAGTCCCCACCCACAGGGAGTAGCACTAAGCCAAGAGCAAAGCTTGGGAGGGCCCCAGAGCAGGAAACCCTGTTCCCCACTCCCATCTCAGGCCCTTCAGAAGAGCTTTATCCTAACATGTTACAGTCCCCATTGGATCCTATAGGTGCCAATGAGTGGCCCTCCCAGCACCCTGTCTCCCTGTTATTGGCCTTTTTCTTTTGGCTGCCACCTACCGACCTCACTCATCACAAAGATAACTAGGTGTCTGAGTGATCACCTAACCAATGTCTGTTTCTCCAACTAGAGCAGAAACACTAGGAGGGCTGGAACTGTCTACTCCAGTCCCAGAAGCAGCCCTAAAGCTTGGCACAGTGCCTCGCAGGTAGTAGGCTCTCAGGAAAGGTGAATCTAGGCTTGTTGGGTGTCTGAAGGCCGTGGGCTACCAGGGAGCTGCAAAGTTTCCAAAATGAAGCGGGCTAGCAGCTGCTTACCGGGTCTCGGACACATTGCGTGTGGACAGGACTATCTCGCCGACACTGGAGTCACCCAGGGTGCGGTTGTCTTTGAACCATAGGACAGTGGGCGGAGGGTAAGCCTCGATCATCACTTGCAGTGTCCGGCTCTGGTGCAGCTCAGCAATTTCTACTGCACCCAGCCCTTGCAGCAGCCTCACGTAGCCTCTCTCTGCAAGGTAAAGCGGTCAGGGGCAAGGCCTGGGGTAGGGCTAGTGCAGCCACCAATGAGGCAGCGCCTCCAGGGGTCGGAGCTTCCGGAGACGGGGCATCTACTGAAGGCCTGGGCTTTAGGAGCCCAAGCAGCACTGGAAATGGGGTTAAAATGGGGGCCAATCTGGAGCAGGTCCCAGTTTGGTGCAGATATTGGTGGTGGGGCTGATTTTGAAGTTGGAACTGTAGTTCTCTGTTCTAGTTCGGTATTGCAGCTGTGGAACACAACAGCCTGGGATGGGTTGGGTCTAGGGTTCAGGCTAGGCAGAAAGTCCAGGCTGGGATTAAGGTTGGGTCAGGCTGGCTCTGCACTTTGGTTTGGGTTAAGCCTGGAAGCTGCCACAGAGTGTAGGGTGGGACAGGAAATTGGCTGCCTGTGCCCCATGGCTGTACGAGGGTCTGACTGGGCTCAGACTGGGCCGGGAGTTGTGTCCAGGGCACCCACCGACCACTGTGACGTTGACAGCCTTCTCGTCTCGGTGCTCATTCACACTCTCAGACACGTTGCAGATGTAGGTTCCTGAGTCGCCCAGCTCGGCGTCTTGGATGTGCAGGATGGAGCGAATGTGGTTGGGCATGTCGGGGAGGAAGTCCGTCACCGACTCGACCTGCTGTCCACTCTGCAGGGACAGGTGGAGCAGGTTCCCCAAATCAGGAGCGGTCTGCAGGCTGAGATATCCATCCCTGCCTGGGCCCCTCCACCCTCAGCCGGGCGTTACCTCCTTTCGGGGGTACATCCACTCAAAGTTGACCACCTCATTCCCCGTCACAATGCACATGATAGTGATGTTCTCACCCTGGCGGACCACAGTCTGTACTGCATTCACAGAGACATTGATGGATGACACTGTGGGGGAGAGAGTGGCTTAAGACCAGGGAAATCAGCAAGCACCAGCACTTCTTCTCAGAGATGGAATAAGGATTTACAGAGGAAAGAGTTGACTGGTGTGGAAGAGTCAACCATTCAACAAGTATTTCTTGAGTACCTACTATGTGCCAACTACTATTCTTGGCACTGAGGCCATAGCAGGGAATCGGATGGACAAAATCTCTGTCCCCATGGAGTTAATGCTCTAGAAAGGGCTAACAGTCTAGAAGTAAAAGTATCCTTGGAATCTAAGTACAGGAATAATTTAGAGAGCTTCTCTGTGCCGGTTCCCTTCCATCTTTTGTTTCATTTAATCTTCACAATAACCCCACAAGGTAGGCAGTTATTATCGTCCTCATTTTATAGAGGGAGAAGGAGGCTCAAAGGGATCATATGCTTTGAACATAATTATTCAGATGGAAGCGGCTGAGCTGCAATTCAAAGTAAGCTGGTTTGAAAGCCTGTGCCTTTTCCCACCGCATTATGCAGCCCAGCTCTGCCACTAATGCATTCCATGACTGGGCAAACACTGTCCTCTCTCTGAGCCTCAGTTTCTTCATTTGTAAGATAAAGGAAAAACTATCTTCCTCCCATGGCTACTGTGTGAACCCAGTGACAAATGAGTTACACACTTGGTAAACTGTAAAGGGTTCTTTCTCTGTCTCTGCTAAACATCGAGCCAGAAAGGGGACTCACCCTGGAGGCTGTAGACATAGTAGGCATCAGAATCCACTTCCCTGTCCCCAATGGTGGTTTTGCAGATGTAGGTCTTGTCCTCCAAGGTACCAATGAAACCTCGCTGGTGGTCATAGGGAATAGGTAGAGGGATGTCTTCTTTCTTCTCATGCAGTGTCACCACCAGCTGGGGGTCTGTAACTCGGCATGGGATGGTGGGGTCAGTTATCTCCGTGACAAAGACAAATGTATCCTCAGGGTCTATCGGGAGGAAGCTCATGCTGGGATCTGCCAGAAGAGGAACCAAGAATGAGGGTCAGGAAAAATGGGTTCTGGCCAGCTGTGAATTCCATGTGACTCTGAGCAAGACTCTTCCCCTATCTGGCCCTCAGTCTCCCCAGCACACAGTAAGGATGCTGCTTTGGTCTGAACATTGGTCATCTCCAAAGCTCCTTGGCATATAATTATCTTTTTAATAGTATTAAGAGGTAATTAGGCCATGTGTACCCCAAGGGTAGACAGGTGCCATAATAAAAGCCCAAGTTCAGCCACCTCTTACTCTTTCTCCCCCTTCTGCCTTTATCCATGGGATAATGCAAAAAGAAGACCCTTACCAGATGCTGGGCCCTTGATCTTGGACTTTGCAGCCTCCAGAACTGTGAGCCAATACAGTTCTGTTCATTATAAATTACTCAGTCTCGGGTTGTATGTTATAGCAGCAAACCTGGGCTAAGATAGGTCTCAGAGGCTCCTTTCATCTCTAACAGTGGTATTGAGTCCCAGGGAGAGAAGAAAACAAGCCCCAAGTTGAAGTGTGGCTGGTACCTGGAGCTTGAAGAACAGGGAAGCTGGGATAACAGGGCCAAGACAGAGCAGAATGGAGCAGCTGAGAATACAGAGTTCTTAGGTGGCAGGAATCGGGCTGGCTGGCAGGAAGCAGGAAGATATCCAGGCCAATGTGTGGGGACAAACACACTCCTGGTCTGAGCTGGGATGGCCTCCATAATTTGTCTCCATTTCTAAGATGGCTGAACTTCACGGTGTCATTGAAGGAGCCTCCAAGCTTCCCCTGATGCCTCAGTGGAGAAGAGGGAGCATGTGGGTATGTAAGCCAAGATCCTTACCTGGCACAAAGATGTACAGCCGCTTCTGCTCACTGGGCTCCAGCTCGACAGAACTGTTGTAGGTGCAAAAGTATTCTCCTGTGTCTCCGCCAGTGACATTGGTCAGTGTCAGCACGCTGGTGAAGGTGCCATCCTGGGTCACGACCATTTCCTGTGGGGGTACCTGGGACATTCGTTCCCACACCACTGGAGCCGAACCCGAGCAGGTCAGAACAAAGGTGCTAGAGAGATTGAGAACCAGCTCTGGCCCAGGGGGCGTGATGACCAGGCCTTGGGAGATCTGTGGTCCCAGCAGCAACAGCAGTGGCAGCAACAGCAACTGGCCTTTGGGAGAGGTGTTGGCTGTCAGGGCACAGAGGCCTCAGGACATCCCCCAGAGCCACTCCAGAAGCCACCAAGTCCGCAAAGAACACAAATCCCTGTCTAACAGAGAGGAGCCCTCTGCCCATGGCTCTGGGGCCTGCATACCCACTGTAGCTCCCAGGGACTCCTTCCGGCCTCTGTCTCAGTCCCCCTCTCTGAGTCCTTCCACAGTGCTATGTTTGGGCAGTAGGCAGAAGGAGTCAGGAAATCCTCGGGAAATAATTCCCAGGCCTCTAGTTCCTACATTACTTCCCAGGTCACTCTCTGGGCCTCCTCCCTCTAGCTGCCCCCAGCTGCCTAGGTTCTGGGGAAGCCCAGAGGTGGCCCTGCTTGGGTGGGGACTCAGGTAGCTTAGAGTGGGGGCAGACTGGGTCAGGAGAGACACTGAGGCCCCTGGGGCTGGAAGGTAGGGGTGCGTGTGTGTCAAATGATCTGTCCTCCCCTCACCCATGACCTCCTTGGGGCAGGGTGTGTAAGCCACGTCCCTCAAGCAGCAGGACGACAGTCAGATAGTCCATCTGACAGAAGTCTGTCCGAAGGCCTTGCTAGTCATTGAGAGCCTGGGCATCTGCCAGCCCCTAGAGAGTTGAAATCGTGTAATCTGTCAGACTGGGGAGAGATGGCAGGCTGGGTGATTCCCAGCAGGTGTGAGGGAGGAAGGCCAAGCAGAGGATTTGAGCTTTAGGCGGGGGTCACAGATGGTTTTTGAGCTGAGAAATGGGCAGCTGAAGGAGGCCTCCACAGAAATGCTCTTGAAATATAGGAAATTGAGGCTCAAGAACAAACCCCATGCTTCTGGACTCACACCCTGGTGCTAACATGCACTGCCCCTGCCAGCTCCAGGACCTGTTTAGTGGCTCCCCTGGACCCCTGCTCCTGCTCCCAGTCTACCTACCTTGAAGGCCCGGAGATGGCATCACACATGGAAGCTGCATATTGGCCTGTGGAGTGAAATAGGAGTCAGGGCCCATCATAGCACCTGGCCCTGCAGAGTAAGCCTTTGACTGGACCACCAGCCTCCATGTCTGTGGGGCTGGTGGGGCTGAAGTCAAATGCCAGCTGTTGCCAGGCTAAGAGGACACAAGTAACCACGGGCCCTCGCTCCTGTTTCTAACTCTCTTGTGGGCTTGGCTGAGTCCTTTGCCTCTCTGGGCCTTAGTTTCCCTGCATGTATAGTAGGGGTGGGGAAGTTGGGCTGGATAGTGTCCAGGGGCCACCAGCTCTGACAGACTGTCCTCTGGGTGACAGTTCCAATACCAGGTTCTTATCTGCCAGGACAAATATTTAGGAAAGTGTGATGAAAGGCCTGAAGGAGAAGGAGGGGATAAGCCAGGACCCAGAGAACTCCCACAGCTCCACAAGCACAACAGGAAATGGAGGCGGCTGTGGTAAGGGAAGCGGGGGAGTCAGGGCTGTGGAATGTGGGGGGTGGGCCTGGCCCCCTCCACCCAGCCCAGATGAGCACTGAGAGGCCCAGGAGAGAGGGGTCCAGGGCTGGGCCTAGGAGAGGCATCTTTGAGCTTGGCAGGCTTTGGAGGTTCTTAGGGACCACTGAAGCCTCAACCACCACCCCTGCTGCCCAGATGGGGAAACTAAGGTTCTGAGAAGAAAAGAAGTTCGCCCAGAGCCCCAAAGCAGGCCCTGTGGGAGGGAGACAAAGAGCTGGAAGGAGGAAGCAGAGAAAGGCAAAGATGGAGACAGCATGAGGGGAGATGCGCAGAAATGCAGTGTTCCAGGCACAGAGAGAGGGAGATAAGACAGGTTGAATTGGATGGGTCTTTGCTCCGTTCCTCTCTTGGCAGCCATGCCTTGGATCCCAGATCATCACCAATGGCCAGGGATATCGAGGGGCTGCCTGCAACCTGGAGTGGAATGAGATGGACAGGGTCACAGAGCAAAAAACATAGGAAGTACCCACATGACAGGGCAGCACAAGTCCAGCTCACCCCACTTCATCACACCCTTCTGGTCTCAGTTCTAAACTGGGGAGCTGGATCTGAGCCACCACACAATGTCCTGTGCCACAGCCATCTCTGTGGCTGAGTCTCCATCTCTCAAAAGGGAACAGTGGCGTATGCCACCCATCAGGGCTGGATTCACACACCGGGGTGCAGACCCAGTGCCCCAGGAAGCAATCTGAGCAAATCTGCTCTTCTCCTGCTCCTCCCCTCCCTTCAGACTGGCCTACCTGAGGGTTCCCTCATGTTTTCCTCTCTCCTCTGAACTGCTCTGAAGGTCAAAGCCCAGCCCGCCTGATGCTCCTCCACAGCATCCCCACTCCCAAGCCTCCTGTGCCACCCATCTTGCTGGACTCCCAACATCCTCGGGCAGGATGGAGCAGTGCCCAGACAGCCCATCTGCCCCTAGGAGGGTGCCCCTCTGGCTTTCCCCTTCCTGCCAGAGGTCCGAGCCAAAGAAAATCATGAGCAGCCCAGGCTGGGGGAGGGGGCATCACAGACTCCCTGCCCCTCCCTTCCAGCCTCCTTGGCTGGCCACACTGTTTATTATTCTAAAGGAGGAATTTGGCCTGCTGGCCAGGAGATGCGAGGTCACTGCAAGGGGGCTGGCCTGGCTCTTGAAGGCTGGGCTGGCCGAGTGGGCTAGGACCTCATGGCATGCAGCCCCCGACCCTCTTCCAGTGCAGCGCTCCCCTGTGCTCTCCAGTTCAGGCCCTCTCCTGACAGGCCAGGCCTGGGGATGGCTTAGAGCCTCCAAGACTCGGCCAGGAGGAGCCCTTTTAGAATAGCCAGCAGAGGCCCAGAGAGGCACAGAATCATGACCTTCTCACCCAGCAAAAAGGTGGATTCAGCCAGTGGGACCAGTAAGATCAGAGAGGGAGCAGCATTCTTGGGGAAGGACGCCCTACAAGGCTTGGACCGGCTTGACTGTATGAATTAAGGGTTTCAGCTCCCAGGGACCTGGAACCCCCTGTGAGAATGGGTTTCCCACCTTCTTTGGGACTCTGTTTCCCCATCCATACACAGAGAAGTTTGGGTGGCTCATCTCAAACAGCTGTCCCTCTTCTCAAGTTCTGCCTTTTTGACAGCCAAAGAGAAGTTCTAGTCATCATTATTCTTAGCAGGGTGGCTGAAGAAAGTAGAGGCTGACCAGAAGGGAGGGGACTACATTTCTGAGGCCAGAGTCACAAGAGAATCCTTTCTGTACTGAGTGACTCTGACCACTTGGTCACTGACTTGCTGTGTGGACTTTAACAAGATGATTCCCTCCCTGCACCTTATATTCTCCCTTTATATACTTAGGAGTCAGACGACAACCTTCCAGGTACCTTCCAGACAAATGAACTTGAGATGTGGAAGCCCAGGATTTGGCATAGGGCAAAAGTGGAAAGGACAGCAAGCTAGAGGGCTGGAAGGTAGCAGAGTAGGGCTTTGGGCACTCAGAAGTGACCTCCTGGGCTGTCTGGATGACTCTGGCACCCCAGCTGCCCAGTTGATGCCTTAGAGACCACTCTGTACTTCCTGGTGGCAGCTATAGTTCCAGCTGACCAGGAGGCCCAGGCAGCTGACATGGGGTGGTGGCTTTCTGGTGACAGCATCCCTTCATCAGGGAAGGAGCTGTGCTCTGGGGAAGAGCCACCTAAGATTAGGAAGTTAGGAAGCAGGCACCCCTATTTGCCACACCGTCCGCCTAGGGAGGAGCAGACAGGAGAAGGGATCCCAAGCACCTTCCCTTTGCCCAGGGAGAGCATGCTGTGAGCCAGGAAGTCTCCGAGACACCACCCCCCCCCATACAAGCCAAGTTGGAAGACAGAGGTCCAAAGATGGGATCATTGCCCAGTTCACAATGAATCAGAGGGACCCCTCAAGGAGAAGAGTGAGGGCCCCAATTCCAGGGGAGCAAACATGTCTAGGGGATCATTCTCAAAGCCCCAGCCTTCCCTCCAATAAGCACATACAATTCTCTACTCCTTTCCCACCGCCTTAATCTAAATAAATCTAGTCTATCTTAGCCACATCCGCCAGCACAGCTTCCCTCCCTCGGGGTCCCGAGGCTCCCACGACACAAGGCAGCAGGGGAGGGGGGACTGCATCACTGCCCGGGAGAGGCCTGCACACGGTGAGCACATGGACACAGCAGACGCCTGCCTACGCGCCTGCTCACACGCTCCTGCCTAACCCGTACATGTGTAGCTGGCTGCAAGTGTGCCCAGCCCCCATACAGGCACTACCCGTGTGCATCCCACACTGAGCACCGCACATATACAGCTCCCACCGTGCCCAGCACACACAGACATGCCCACTGGAGAAGCACCCACGTGTAAGAGATCAGCACATATGACATGCACAGAACATGTGCACATGGCACCCCAAATGCCCCTGAACATATCTGCATGCACCCACAGATAAGCAAGACAGCTGCATGTTCTGTACAGTTCTGAGAACTTGACATGTAGTGACTCACTTGGATACAACAATCATTTCCATTTTATAGGCAGAAGACTGAGGCACAGAGCACCTTAGAAATTTGTTTAGGAATGCAAAGCCGGATAAGGGTAGAGATGAAATGGGCCAGTGTGACTTTGTGCTCTGTGCCCCCACCACACCACTTCTCTGGTCACCACTGTCTGGGTGGGGCTAGACAGAGAGCAGTGGGTGGGAGAGAAAGACACAGAAGGTTTGAGATTAATTCAGCAAGAATCAACAGGACTTGATGATTGAAGCTCGGGGGACTGAAGAGGTAAGGTTCATAGATGAGCCTGCATCTGTTTCTGGCTTGAAATAGTGGGGGACAGGAATGTATATGTGCTGGGGGGACGATGCCATTTTCTGAGAGGATACGGAGGTCAAATAGCAGCACTGAGTTGCTCCTGAGCTGGTTTAGAATGTGGAGCCTTCAGTGCAGAGAACAGGCTGGGCAGGAATGGCAGTGAGATGGGGCGGAAGAAGCCCTGCCATCAGGAGGAAGGTGCTTGGTGCAGGCCTCTGGGGCCAGGGATGCTTCGAATAAACAGGAGGCCTGAGGGAGAAGGAGGAGGAGGCGGCCTGGTCATGAGGTCACAGGTCAGTCTGGGAAGGCCACAGCTCCACAGCCCTCAGGGATCGTTCTGATTCAACCCCTTCCTTGGGCCCCACCGCACAAGTGTGGAAACTGAGTTAGACCATGAAAGCAAGAGGAGGACCCATGTTTGGGTCTAAGCAGGATGGCTCAGGTGACAGCGGGGTGCTCGAGCTCACCCGACCAGGCAGCCCCTCCCACAGCCCCTGCTCAGCTGTGAGGTGCTCCAGGCCCAGGGCCCAGACTGCAACTGCTGGCCCTCCCCCTCAGCAACACGCTGTGGTCACTCCTTGCACCGTCAGGCACAGGCCGGTGACAGACTCAGAGAAGACACTTGCTAAGTTGCTCGCATGTAGACACGGACTCGATTCCTGACCCTCAGCCTTGTCCTTTCTCCTCCATGACAGGGACATTTCACAAACTTCAGGGTGGGAGTAAGGGACCCGGATTCTAGTCTGAGCTCTGTCACCACCTGTATTACAGTCCTGCCCCTCTCTGGGCCTCAGGGTCCCCATCTGTACCATGGGGTGGGAGAACTTGTCAGGCTGGCATGTTGTGGCTCTGGGGATCCTGCTCTGGAAGGCAGCTGTGTGGAGCTGGAATGCTGGGGAGGGGCCCCAGGCAGGATGCCATGACTCAGCTCCAAGGAGGCAGCCAGTTCCTGGCCTGGGAGTGTGTGGGGGCAAGCAGCATGTGGAGCTGGGGATGGAGTTCTCGCCAGCTGCCAGAGAGCATAGTGGCTGCAGCACGGCCCAGCATGGCAGCCTGGCCTGTGTGGCCACAACATGGGTGTGATCTGCAGCCCAGGTCAGGAAGTCTCATTCTGGGAGCCAGGAGAGCAGGGTCCTCAGAGTGGAGACACTGTTACCAGCTGGGGAGGACCTGGGAAGGAGCAGAGATTCTCCCTGCCCCCTCAATCTTCTGC